GATTCTGACCTCTGAGATCTGTGTGTGAGACAGTATCAGGTTTGGAAGATGACTGCAAGGTGAATGGCAGGACAAGACTTTTGATGTAAATTCTTAGATGTATGTGCTAAAATACGCATGCTAGGTTTCACACTACAAAATGCCAACAATGGTAGTTCCTGATTGTCTGAATATGGGACAGAAATCAGAGGGAGTGTGGGAGTTAAAAATAAGATGATCACCATCAGGTGGAATTAATGTTAAGAGGCTTTAAGTTCACTTTCTTCTTTAGTAATAACTAGGTATTTCAAGTAGGAAGAAGAATTATAATATCACCATTGCCCATTCAAGTCTGAAAAAAGGATTTATTGTTAAAACCTTTTCAATTCTGTTTTCCATATAGTATTGTAAAATTGGATAGAATAGACACTGTTCAAAGACTAGTGACAGATGAACTAAAATTAAAAAATGAAAGAGAAAAGGTACAATGAATGAGTACAGAGAATTATGAAATCATAATGAGGAAAGTAAAAACAAAAATGGATCTGTGAGAGATCTGATGGGAACACATAAAAAGAAATACATGGGAATAAGCATAATATTTCTGGCTGGGGCTCAGTGGGCATTGGCCCTCTTCCATCCTGCTTACTAATTGCTTCTGGAACAGGATTTGCAAAGTTACTCAGTATGTGAGAATTTAAGCTAAAAAAAAAAAAAAAAAAAAAAAAAAGCCATCTTCCTGCAAAGGGAAGCTTGTAGGAATCTAATTTGGACCACGATCTAATTTATGTCTGGATTGCACTGATATAATAGCATATCACACACCTAGCCCTTACTGAATGTAATGGGGGGGATGTCATTATTTCAGGCTGCATAGCAGATTAGAGGTGACATGCTTGTTTTTAAGGCCTACTGCATTCTTCTAAGGTAACTTCTGCCTACAACGCTCTTAGCCAATATTGAAAAGCTACATGTTGGAAAGCAAATACATTGCTTGTCATTTTTGGTAGAAGACACAGCTGCAGCTTCCCACTTATTAGACTGAAAATGTATCCTCTACCCTATTGCTTTGAGCTTTGTCACTGTACACTGTGTGTGCATTTTTTGATACAACACAGGCTGATCAAACAAGACACAATGTGACCCATGTAACAAAAGCACTAAGAAGAGATTTACTTTTTTAATGGATAAAAACAGGCAATTCCTTTGACAACATCATTTCCAGATGTCTTTTTATGTTAAAGATAGCTATGCTTATTAGCAAGTACTCGACACTACACCCGTATTGAATTTCTGCTTGTTAGTTCATTCAGAAACAAGAAACATCACCGACATGATATTTTGAGTTTATCCTATGATATTTGCAAGCTTCATACACAATCGCATATAGCTTACATTCTGCCTATAGGGACCTACTGAAAGATATGGAAGTATTCACTACTGCAGTTATATCTTGTCCAATCTATTCTTGATAATAGCTGCATATTGCGGACATATGCAGCCATTAAGATCAGAAATTCCTTTGTGTATAGGAGAAATGAGTGTTTACGTAGTTCTTTTCATGCAAAGAAAAAGAATGTCCTAGCCTAGTCAATATATTTCTCAGGCACAAACTTCTATAGTTATAGAACCAACACTATCAAAAGTGGAACTGACTTGTGCTTTTTGGACAACAGTTGCTAATCCAGCCACTCAGAGATTCTGCATTTTTTATTTAGTGGAATAGACATGATTGTACTACAGTGAATATCCTAGCCATTCCCAGGTGAAATAATTGGCCAAGTTGTGAAGAAGTGTTGATCTGCCTGAAAGTAGGAAAGCCATGCAGAGAGATCTGGACAGCCTGGATTGCTAGGCTTAGGCCAATAGGATGAAGTTTAACAGGATCAAATGCTGTGCGCAATGCTTTTGGAGTTGCTGGTCGATGCTTGGCTGAATGTGAGCCAGCATGTGTCCAGGTGGCCAAGGAAGTCAATGGCATCCTTGTTTGTATTAGAGATATTGTTGCCAGCAGGAGCATGGAGGTGATCATTCCCCTGTACTCAGCTCTGGTACAGCCTTATCTTGAATGCTGTGTTGAGTTTTCAGCCTCTCACTACAAGAAAGATATTGAGACTCTGGAATATGACCAGAAAAGGGCAATGAAACTGGCGTGGGGACTGGAATGCAAATCTTATGAGGAGTGGCTGGGGGAACTGAAATTGTTTAGTATGGATAAGAGAAGAATCAGGAGAGACATTATTGGTATCTACAAGTGCTTGAAGAGAGATCACAGTGAGGTGGCAATTGGCCTCTTCTCCTAGGTAACTAGCGATAGAATGAGGGGGAAAGACCTCAAAATTTTCACCAGGGGTGGTTAAGGTTAGATATTAGGAAAAAATTCTTCTCAAGAAGAGTGGTCAGGCATTGGAATGGGCTGCCCAGAGAGGTGGCTGAATCACTGTCCCTAAAGGTGTTAAAGAATCATGTCTATTTAATATTAAAGAACATGGTATTATGAGTAATATTGGTGGTAGGTGGGTGGTTGGACTAGATTTTAGAAGACTTTTTCAATCTCAGTGATTCTATGGAAATAGTCTTTAGGGGCTCAGAGACAGATGAGTGCTTTTGACAATGCCTCATATAAAGAAAACTATACTTCTAGATTTGCTTTGTCGTGTACAAAACTCTCAGTGCTTGTAAAAACAGGGGCCAAAGCCTCTGTGAGCCACCAGTGAGCCACATAAAATCACTTCTGTCGGAGAGGGCCAACAATTTTGGAATGCCTAATATACAAAACAAGTGACAACATGTTAAAAAAAAAAATGTTGAGTAATGCACTGTTCCAGCTCCCAAGAGTATGGTACTCTTGCACCCAGCTGAAGGTACATCAAGTACACTCCGAACTTTGCAGTAAGCATTCTGCCCAGATCCCAGTCTTCTCAACATTATGCTGTATTTCACAGACATCATTCAGGGCCACTTAAATCAAGGACATATTTATTGCACTGAAAACACAAATGATAAAAAAATCATTTTTTATTATTTCCCAGGATAAGCTGTTAAGAGTCTTGCTTTTGACCTTCCATCTTTCAAATTAGGTAAATTTCTGAATTTTAGCAGAGTCTTGGGCATCTGATGTTTGCCACATATGTGGAAAATACAAAAGACATTTCTTGATTTTAGAAACAGGTAAAGTGGCAGGTTTTGTCTTAATGGGTAAGAAATTAATGTCCATAAAAGTAAGCAAATAAGACAGCATGAGCCCTATGCAAATGGTTTCTGGACACCCTATTTTTACACAGATTTGAAGAAAACCTATACAACCCAGCCAGACAGTGAGATATGAACAACATTTCACTGTGAACTTCAGTCCTTCCTGTAACTGTTGTCATTAGCTTTGGTGCTTTGCTATAAGACTTGCTCCACAACTATTATAATGCAGTTATAACCAGGTATTTACAGTACATTAAGACTAATACATTCATGGTTATAATCAGTCTTGTTATTTGTTGAAATACAAAGTGCTAATGGTCATATCAGCAATTATTGAGATGAAAATGCTGTGTGAAGAGAGGATAAAAAGTAGGATTTGTGTCTTGCGTCTGGGGCTTGGAAGAATAGTTTCTTGAAATACAGCAGTATTAATCAGTGAGGCTCAGTGGAAAACAAACTGGGGAAAACAAACTTTGTTTTGGAAGTAATATAGGCAGCTTCCATGCACTCTGTCCTTGATGAAAAAGTCACGCATGAACTGTACATTAAATCTCCATACTAACACAATATGAAATGGCTGTAATTAATGGGCTGGGGAAAAAAAAAAAAAAAAAAAACAGGAAAGAGGAAGAACTACATGTAGATTTTGAGGGGACATTTATATCTTCTGAATTTGACCAGTACAACAGAACTGAAGTAAGTAGCAGAGAATGCAAAGGTAAAGGAAATATTAATGCAGAAAAAATATCACTCTCCAATGTTTCATATAGCTCATGTTTTTCAATTCACAGCACTTGCTCTGTACCAGACCATTTCTTATCCATTCAACTTCTAGTTGGAAAACACTGTGAGGCAATAAATCACATTACTATGTTCACATAGTTCAGAGTTTGGAAGCCAGTTTGGAAGCTACTTGTGTTTCATCTTTTATCCCATTACCATCTATCTAGTATCCTAGTTTTAAGCCCTTTTGGAACAATTGTGTTTACACAACAGTCTTCACTATAGTTTATACTTCCTAGTTCTAGGTGCTTCCTCAATAGGAAAGAAAATTTTTAGATGTTTCTTAATTTAGTTGTATTCTTTCTGAAAGGCAAGTGTATAAACCTCTGTTTGGAGCCACACTAACATTATCAAATGAAAAATGTATTTGGCAATCAAGAAACATTAAATTCATGTTTGCTAAAAAAAATAATGTCTGGATCTATTTTCTGTAAGAGATCCATCTATTCAAAATACATAGCAACATTTTAGAAGACAAATGCACACAAATTAAACAGGTACTTCAGACATGACAAAATCAGAAAACATAAGAAACAACAAAAATTTTTCAACAATGGCATAATAAAGTTATTTGATTAACTTTTGTCATTATTTTTCATCCAAAAATTGTGGTTACATTAGTTTTTATTGATTACACTAGCTTCTAGACCCTAAATGGCAACCTATAGCTGGAGATTAGGAAGGAATCTTCTATGAAAAATTGAGGTTTTGGCATAACAGCAGAGAGAAGAAAAAAAGAAATTACAGTATTGGACTTGATTTAATTTTGGGAAAAGAATGGAGAAGAGTGACAAGAGACAAGAAGCTGAGAGCCTTCCTAATGAGTATGGATTTGCACGGTAGCATTCTGCATCTCAGAGTCAGAAAAGTATATAATTTTAAAATTATTTATACATGCATACAACATCATTTGTGTTTATCGTTAAAAATCTTTCAAATTACGCTGCTTTTTAGAGAAGAGTCATGTGGAATTAGACCAGCAAAGACAGACTGAATGTAAGACAATGTATATAATAATAATAATAATAATATAATGCTACTGAGGATTAAAAAACAAGCAAACAAAAATGCCCCACATGTAAATATGAGAAACTATCAGGATTTTTAGCCATTTATGTATTTGCACACATGCTTCTACAGAAGCAGCAGTATATTGTTTAGGCTAGTTTTCTTTATCAGTTATAACTATTTGTACAGCAGCAATCACAGTATCCAGGTGCCAGTTTTGACAAAGTTTCACTGGGAAATAAACAGCTATTATAGGCTTCATAGTGAAATAACTGGTTATCTGTCAGTAGCTGCTTTAGAGAACTACAAATATATCAAGACTGTACAAAATGAGTTTTACAGAGATTTAGGTACACATCACTGAGTGCTGGAGAGATACAGAAGACTGAGCTGTGTTCCCATTGTGCAGAAGACCAATTTTCCTGGAAAATATCTTTTGAGATATATTCAAAGGGCAAAATTCTGTACAAAAATCAACAGATTCCTGAAAATTAGAATCTCAGCATACTTCTGCACCTTTCACAACACATGAAAATTAAGTATACTTCATTCAATTACATTTGAAGGTGTTATAGATATTATAATTGATTTCCTAACTCTAGGATAAACTCAAACTGAGATGACAACATTGGCTTGGCAGAGACAACAAGTAATAGTAATGGCCTACTGCAATGTCTTAATGGATTTATATAGGACAATAGTTGTACTGTACTATAGCGACCACTAGCTCAAACTATAAGTTTGATGTTTGCTAAAGTAGGTACTCACCTTATGCTTTCTTTTTTGATCTTATGAAAATGGATTATTAAATCAATTACCAGGTGGCATAGACAACAATGCTTAAAAGAACAAGCTGTAGGGGGTGTATATTTGCAGTAGAATTTCATTATTTTAACTCATACCTGCTAATTTGTACTTCTAGTATTTCACTGCTCAGAGATACATTAGGAAGGCAAGATCCACATCTCTCCATGTTATGCTTAAGGAATAATTTCCACTGAAATTACAAGTTATTCAACTATGCATGTCTTTGACATCCAGGGCTCTTTATACTGGTGAATCCCTTGAGGAAATAATTTGTTATTCCACATACTTCTTCGAAATATGTTATTTAATTCTTCTAATAAAAAGTACTCATGTTCTGACACGAAATATATATCATCAAAAAGGAAAATGTTATATTTCGAGTCTTCAGGTCCTGACATACCTGCATATGTAGAATAGCATTATCTCTGTGTCCACTCTTCACAAGAGTATTTTAAGCTGATATGTTCTCTAATTCAGAAACTGTTCTTTAGCCACAATGCATGTCTCTGTTTATAGAAAAGAAGAGGAAAAAAAAGTGTTAAAAACATAGGAGAGAACTTCCCCCCCCCTCCCCCTCCCCTTCTATTCACTTCAAAGTAGTTTCATTTTAAGTTTTGGGTACATGTTGGGGTCATTTTTTTTTTTTTTTTAATCAAAACAGTTTTCCCATCTTAATTAAAATCAGTGGACTATGCAATTCTGTTAGACTGGAGGAAAGGAGAGTTTGTTAATTTACATTTAAATAAAACTGATTTTCTGAACTTCTGATATACTTGTATTTTTAATATCTTGAGCTTCATATTATATTTATAAGCATTACCATGGAATTATGGGGAGTCTTGGCTCACAATGCTGTTATCATTCAGCAAGGGTTTTTGTAACCATGCAGACTAAGAGCAGAGACAAAACAAAGGTTTAAGTGGGTTAATGATTTTGTTAAATCTACTGATATAACTTGAAGAAAAAGGCAATTTGAAGAAGAACTCAAAACACCACCCATTTTTTCCAACTATTCCATTTGGTCCAAAGGAGGGTAATGTTCACTGCAACTGCGATTATACTGATTCTATTCTGCTGTCCTGTAGAATCATAGAACCACAAGGTTGGAAAGGATCTACGAAATCATCTAGTCCAACCATCCTCCCACTACCATTGCTACCACAAGCTATTAAACAATGTCTTGTAGCTCCTCATCCAGACACCTCTTGAACACTGCCAGGGATGGCGACTCCACCACCTCCTTGGGCAGCCATTCCAGTGCTGACCTCTTTCTGAGAGAAAAAGTTTTTCCTTAAGTCTAACCCAAAACCTCCTTTGGCACAACTTGTAGCCATTTCCTTGGGCCATGTTTGTTGCCCGGGAGAAGAGACCAAACCCCTCTTCATCACAACCTTCCTTCAGGAAGCTGTAGAATACAATGAGGTCTCCCCTGAGCCTTCCCTTGTTTCTTGATTACCGATTATCACCAAACAGATTTCAATGTCTTCAATAGCTTAAGTGTATGAAAACCTTTACTGTTCAAATAAAGTACTAAAGAATACCAATTAACATCTGAATTATGAGTAATTAACAAGAATTCTCCACAGCACAAAAAGATGTAATGTATTTATAACACTACTACAGTATGAAATATGTAGAGATGCATCAAAAGACAGAATTTGCTCATTTTGCACTTTCCTAAATTGAATAGCGCACAAAGAAATTTTCTATTTAGTAACTATTTTAACATGGAAACCTGAAGAGATTTCCTTAGTTTGTAATTAATAATATATATTTACGCAGTCAGTCCCTGACTAAGACTGAAAATACAACGCTTACTTGAATGCAATGTAACATTTTTGAGAACGCTTTCAGCTTAGATTTTTTGCTGTCATTGAAGATAAAAAAAGAATTTTTTAAATATCTGGTGAAAACAGAAGGATTTTAGAACTTTTTTATTGAATTGTAATAGAAATTAAAAGAAGAAAAATTAAATTGTGGCAAAATATAAATGTAATGAAATATTTAGTCCAGCAATAGACATTTTCAATGATTGTACTTCAATTTACCAGCTAAATATCATTTTAAAATTAAAAAAAAGAACTCTTTCTTAAAAAAACTATCAAAAGAAACATTCAAAACAGGTGCTAATTCACTTATATTAATTCAATCTGACTGTTACAAAGAGTAATCAGGTGCATATTTTTCTCCGATTTGGAACATTTATCCAACAAACGAAATGTAGGCGCTTGTTTGGTTTTCACAGAAATTCAAATCAACTGTACACTTCAATATATATATATTTTTTTAATTGTAAGAGCATATCAGATTTATTGTAGAACTACAGTCTACCTTTACAGTGCATGCACAATAGGTCCAATTTCTCCAGAATAATATATTGGAATTTTTGCTTTTCCAGTGAAAAAGATTTCTTTTTGTCAAATTGGTATTTCTGTGTGACAACACACATTACATTTGCTGATACTAGTAGAAGCACATTTGCTTTTTCCATTCACATCTTCCTTTAAAGCCTCGAGAAACTGATTCCTTGATTTTCTCGTATTTTGTGATTTTTTTCCACCGTGATTCTGAAATCAGGGAAAAAAAGAGAGAGAGAATGAGTGTTCCACTTAATGCTATCAGCACTGATTATACATGATCACCCTTTGCTGAAGAAAGTGGAAAGTTTAGACTTGATCCCAAGACAACAGGCAGTCATCTTACGTGGGATAATTTTGTTCTGTATAAAGCCGACAGAACAACCTTGCTTTTCCTAATGCTGTTTTGAAGAAATTCAAACATCACTTAGGTTGAGGGAATTTTCTTTCACATTATATGGAGTCACTTGAAGAAACACTTAAATACTTAAGACTTAGATGCCTTATATTGACAACTCCCACTATCCTTGTTGCAACTCTGCATCTGAAGATTTTTGTATCACATCTGAGAAAGCACAAATCCAAACAAAACTTGAAGAAAAAAAAAAGTGAAAAGAAATACCTGAAGCCTTATTGCATATCAGAGTAAAAAGAAGGGAAGATTTTAAATGCTTGCATCCAGAAATCTAACCCTTAGGATCTTTTTTTCAAGCTGCTAAACCTTTAGAGATGCAGCCATCCATATCGGAGATAAACTGATCGTTTTTGAGACAGTAAGAACTGTGTTCTTAAGGAAGGTCAATTTTTCTCCAGAACAGTTTGTTGCTAACTCATAGTTCCTCAACTTGAAACTGATCAGAACATAGTGTCATATCCACTTACCAGTTGATTTGATTTTGCTGTGCAACAGAACTTGACAATGAAAGAAGGTATGAGGTGCTGATACTACATTAAGCTTGGAAATACCAGAGAAATACAGTTTCCAATTCCACATATTCATTACCTATTAATGTTGGATGAAAATTAATAACAAATGCATTTTCATGAACAGCTTGTTTTGATTGGTGGAGTATTTGGTAGTTATGCCTAATCTCCCATTCTATTATTTAACCATTAATAGAAAGACAGTGTTTATCTATTAATAATGTTTTACTACCCTAAAACTGGTTCACATTTGATTCACATTTGCTATGTAATAGGTATCTAACATTCTGCTGAACATATCTACAAGTGCTCACATACAACGCAAATATTTTATCCATTTTTAAGGAGGTCTTTATGGATACTGTGAATATCGCTTTTTAGTTAATAACTTATTTCTTCCTTTTTTTTTTTCCCAATAAGTGCTGAGTATGCAATAATTAAAATATTTTTATTTTCTCACTGCTTTAGGAAATATAAGTTTTTGGTATTGTTAAATTCTGTATTTCAAAAATGCTCCAGGACTTGGCAGGACAGCAAAGGTGAGAATAGAGAAAAGTGAGGCAAGACAAGGTGGGGCAAAGCAAGAGATAAGGAGGTACAAGGAGAAAAAAGGCAAGAAGAGACAAGGAGAAGGGATACAAAGGGAGTAGAAGTGGGGAGAAAAGGGGAAAGGAGGGGAAGGAAGGAGAAGCATCTGAAACTTATTTATAATCATAAATGGGAAATAAACAAATATAGTTGAAAACAAGTAAACCATCTGCTCAGCTATACATAAAATTATTGCTAGTACTGTATTGACGCTTTACGTCAAGTACCCTTCATTTTCCTCTGTCAAATCTAATCAATCATTTGTCAGTATGATGTATTCCAGAAACAGTAACAGAACAGATGCAAATCCATTATCTATGAGAATATACGCATACTTCTTCAACAAAATCATTGAAACAGTGTCTAATTACTGTAAGGACAGTACCACACATAAAAACTATACAAAGAAAGAAAAAAATATTGAATTTGTAGCAGAAAAAAAAATGATAATTTAAAAAATTCCCCTTGATATATGTGTAACAATTTCAGTCATCTTTGGAAGATCTAAGTTCTGATCTTGAAGAAACATAAATACATCCTCAGAGAAGTCCCAGTGGTTAAAGTCCAGTAGGACTGATGTAGCTGAAAGATTTCTTTCCAAATGTACAAATAAATATGGATGCCTTAAGAAAACACCATTGGTGTATTTTGATACTAGTCAGTATACATTAGGTTTACTAAGGTATAAAGAGATCTAAATTCAAGTATAACCCAAGACTAGAAAGTTTCTATGCTCCCTTTACAAGAAGAATTACATGCCTTGAAACAGGAATGGGGACATAAGGCTGCTGAGCAAAAGCAGCCTCTCCCAGGAGAAAAAGCCATAAGGATAAAAAAGCCAAGACTTACAGCTCTTCACTTCCTAGGGTATCTGATTCTATCTCAGCCTTTGTGATAACACCTCTCAGAAACGTAGGAGAACTTCAGTCTTGCCATTCCAGGATGAAAATTCACATCATGATTGAACCCACTACAGAACTAAGAGAGAAAAAGAAGAGATGGATTAGAAGTGATTCTCATTGATTCTTGTTGATGATGGGCAGCAAGAACAATTCCAAATAGAGAGGCCAAACCTACCCAGGTCCTCCTCTTCCATTGTGACAGCCACTTCCCCACACTCTCAGAATTTGGTGAAAGGCAAAACAAATGTACGAGCTGTGATCTTTTTGTTACTTATGGCAGTTGGTAGTTGGACAACATCTTATTACTTCCAGTATCTATTCAATCAGCATGCTCCAGGTATTCACTCAAAAGAAGGTCTGTTTCATGTAAAAACTGGAATTGAAAAAAATGCTTTGGTATTTATGTCTGTGATGGAAAATAATATCTTTATCAATTAATTGAAAATTAATTAGTTACAGAATTCTGATTCAATGGCAAAAAAGTTTAGCCATTTTTTGTTACAAACTTGATACAGTTAACACTTCATAGGACTTTTGGGCTTGAATTTTATGATAGCACTGAATCAATTTCAAGAAAGCTATTTTAGTCATTTCTTATTAGTTCTTAAATAGCAAGGAAATTTTTTTTTGTAATTAGAGAGGAAAATAAATATGCAAATCTGTTGCTTTCTGTCCTATATTTCTTCCTCTCTTTTAATGGTTTAGTTTTGCTTGTTTGTTTACTTATTTTTGGGGGCATGGGACATTTTCTATCATATGTGCAGGGACAGAGACATCAAATTTACATTTAAACTTACTTTGACAAGTAGTTTTTTTTTCATTAAAGAGATATGATTGTTATTGAGTAACTATAATTACATTATGTTGTGCCACTGTCACTACTTACTTTAGTTTAGGTTGTAACAATGAGGGAACCTGACTGAAATATGAGCTAAAAACTGGAAGACCAAACATCTTCTTTCTTACTGTTAGGTCTCTGTCACTGTTTGTAAAGAGTGCTCTAGATTTTCTTAAGTTTTCATTAAATGTTCATTAAATTCCATGGTAGTAGAAGTACTCAGAAAAGAGACTTTAAACATATATCAATTGAAATTTCCAGCAACAAAAATTTGTTGTAACAGTTCTGTTGGCAGTATGAAAAGTAGGAAGGAATCATTGTTCCATGGGACTCTTTTACTCAAAAGAAAAATCATGTTGTAAGAAATATAGCTCTTAATATTAAAATGTAAAACTTCATTAAAATGAAAAATAAGAATCCAAATATTCATGGGTACCTATTGTGTTGAGGATAAAGGCAACATTTTTAATATCTTTTTCAAATCACTCAGTTTTCACTCTTTCAGAATACATTTAAGGGACTGCAAAACTGGATTGTATGTTTTTTCCTTTTTTTTTTTATTTTTAAATTTGTGTTAACCTTACATAATAAAATCAGTCTACAGCTCTGCAGTAGATAGAACTACAGTACTGTAATACATGATGTTTTCACCGGCATGAAATTGCTTTGGATTTCATGCAGACTTTTCTAATGCTCATTAGCTCCATTTCTTCAGAAGTGTTTTTGTTCTCAGAAAATAATAAGGGAAGGTTAAGATAAACAAATAGATCAGAATAAATAGGCTGTACAGTAAAATACACCAAGAGAAAGGAAGGGATTATAATTACTGCAGTTTTGAAAGATACTAAATTATTGGGACTGGCAAAGAAATAATCATTTGCATAGGTATCTGTCATGTGATTATTTATCACATGATTTATGTGCAGCCTTGACGGGCTACAGTGATGAGCACGCTAGAAATATGATGGATGAATGAAAGGTACTCAGTGAGGTGAATGTGAATCAGAAAGTCAATATCAATTCGAAAATCAATCAGAAAGAATAAGACTGCTTAGTTTGTGTGCACAAAATACTGGGTTAGGTGCTGTCTGTAAAGGCTAGGAGATTTCTAAATCTTACAGAAAATGTTCTCTAGCAATGTTCAAAAAGTCTGCTACAAAATGTATGTGATTCAGTTGTTTATAGCTCAGAAAATTATGATCTTTGTTATAGTAGAACCTTCTCTTTCATTTTCAGGAGCCTGTCCTGACTATCTGGGGTTTAGAGGAGAGCTGCTTCCCTTTCAGAAACACAAGAAGGGCAGAGCTGCAGCAACTCCCTGACCTTTAGCTAAGAACCCTATGGTAAAGTAATTCTTTTGATAACAGCTTTGGTGGAGACACTTGGCTGCTCTCATCTCTGTCTCAATTTGAAAGGCATTGCAAGAGAAAAAGCCCTATTGTTCCTATTCTGAACAACATCAATCTCTAAAAAAAAAAAAAAAAATCTGCACATACTTATACAAAAAACTACTTAAGGGCAGTCATTTTCTCTTACTGTTTTTTTGTAGTCTAGTACAATAGGATCTCACTCTTTATTGGGAGCTTTTAAGATTACATTATTAAAATGCATCTAAAAATACATTGAAGATCATTAAGGTTAAACGCCAAGATCTCCAACCTTAGGAAATACCAGAATTATTGTTGATAGCCTTTAGTTTAGGTTATACATCCTCCTTTTGAAAATGTCTTTTCGATGAACTATTTCTGACTGATTCCCAGCTTTGTTCATTGCCCAGGAAGACTTACTCTTAGTGAATGAGCAAAAGTTAAGTATTTCATTCCATTCTCTTGTTCAGAGTTTGGCAACATGCTTTGAATACTGCACACCACCTAATTTATCATCTCAGTACAAAACTAATATTCACATGAGATTTTCTATGACACTTACTGCTGTAGTATTTGAATGTGGCAGAGGAATAATTTAATCATTGTCTTAGTATAAGATCCATGTCTGTATTTCAAAATCTATTTCTCCTTGGTAGAGCTATTACAGAAAGAAAGAATCATGTCTTTTTTTTTCCCCTCTAGAATTCTTTGCTTTCTGTTCACACAATAAGTAGGGTGAGAGTTCTCAAAGCAAAGGCCTGACTAATTTTAGCAGATTTTAGTGAATACTGATAGAACATTGCCTGCAGGAAAACAGGAAAGAAAGAAGGAAGGAAGAAAGAAAAAGTACAAATATTGTACTTACCAGAGGAGCTTCATAGGTTTTTGGATCCAACAAAAAGTATGATAAAAATGTAAGTGATATATTTAAGGTCCATTATATTCATTGTCATAAGTTACAAGTAAACATAAATGGAATGCGAAGTACACAGAAAGTTACTTTTACACACGCTGACAAAAATACAAGATTTCTGTCTGCTAGTACAAAAACAGAAGGAATACCTTTTTCATATTTCTAATATGGAAAATGTGCAACTTATTACTTTACATCACCTACCAGTGTTTGCATAATTAAATGGAATCTCTTTCACAGGCACTTTCCACTATTAAACACCTTTTTTTCCCCCTACAAGTATAATTAAATGAGTTAATATACAAAGTTACTGTCATTCTCTGCATGACAAAGAGCAAAATGATAAAAACTGGTAAGACCTATCAATTACTAAGTTAAAACATATGAAGAGTAGCTAGGTGCTTCATCATGTAGGCTGTGGTCTTATTTCACTTTCTACTCAGAGAGTAAAATGCAGCTACAATTTGGGTAGGAAGACAGTAATTAGCCAGCTCACTTGATGGCAATGACTATGAAGCTAACATGGTATTGACAGGGAGATATGGTTAAAGGTGGGAGGGGGGTGTCTCTCCTTGGTAGGCAGAAATTATCATTTGACACTATCTTTAACTCATCTTCTTAATTTACTTTTTTTCCTTAAATCAAAATAACGCCAAAATGTAAAGACTGCTGAATGGAAATACCATCTCTAATTGTCAGGTAACTTTTACCTGCCTTGCCAGACCCTAAGTTTGGGGATCTGATTTATGTGATACAATTAAGAATGAACACATATAATTACATATAATTATTTCCCCAAATTTGTGCTGAGGAATTTTATCTAATGAGGTCACCATATTTACTTGTTTTTTCCTACAACTTCAAACCAGATTGCCAACTTCTACAGTTTCTCATACTTGAATCTTTTAAAGTAAATGCTAAAGTTTGAGCTAAGCAAAACCTTTCTTAAAGATTGCAAAGTAATACAGTTGCTACCGTAAATCATTAAAGTAAACTATGCTAAAACACAGATAATCTATCCATACTCCACTCTGGGGGATCTTGATTGTCTGAGTACCAATCCCCCATCCCTTTATTTTTTCTAAAAATTCAGTGTAATCTGAAGACATAGTACTACCTACTATGCCTGATATTCTTCAATGCTGCCTAGAGGCACCAGTCTTTATGAGAGTTTGTGTGCACGTCCTTAGGCATTTTTTGCAAAACCTAAATTTTTGTTTTATTTTTAAAATTTTTAAGATATTTACAGTGTATTGTAATCATTGTAATTGTAAAGTATTATAAAAGGTTCTGTTCTCCTAAATTTGTAAATTAACTAACTCAAGAATGATGCTCACTAGTTGATATCACTACAATTCCTATGTCATATAAGTAGATATAGCACTGAATATAGGCCTGTTACCTTCTGTCCTATAGGTTGTACTTCCTCAAATCATGTACGAGTACTGTCTACTCCAGTCCTTGAAAAGCATTTTAGCAACTATAATGAGGCAGAAGATGCATTCTTGCTTTAATTAATGTGTGCTCATAATTTTAGAAATGTCTGAGTAATTTCACAGGTCTATCATTTTTTTTTTTTTTCTGGTCATAGTGAACAATCCCTGTGCAATTACAATTCAGTGACATTAACTGAACCTTTATCTACTGATCCATCAATTCCGTACAGAAAATAATCTGAAAGTTAAAGCTTGATGAACCATCAAGATTATATATTCTATTTTATCTTCATAAAACTATGTAAAAGAAATTCATGTATTGTTTAAACAAGATGTGAAAAAGTTACTCAACAGCACATCTCAAAACAAAACCAATTTTCCATCTTCAGAATACATGCCTCAGATCAGCTTCTAAAATACACTTTAAAAACAAGACCACGTTATTCTTTTCCCTTTTGTTTCTCAGTTGACACAATATTGGCAAAATGGTAAAATTAGTTAGTTTTACAAAAGCAACATTTTTTCACAAATTCAGCTAATCAGCGTCATTCTTCACTGTTTTACATCTTTTTTTCTCCTCAGACTTACCAATGCTTGAAAAAAAAAAATATTCAATTCTTTAGATTTAGTACAAAGACTACTTTTGTTGAGTGCTTGCACTTACATCTTTATCACTTGATGCAATACGTAACTGAAGCCAGAGTGCAAATAACTTATCACATCCTGAGTCATGTCGTGAAACAAGTTCTTTGTCGTTTGGGAGTCTCAGTCCAAAATAACAGTGCCAGGGTTTTTGCTGTTTAAAATTGCAATTATGCA